CATCTCCATTTCTCTCTGTTTTACTGCCATGTCTTTTGTTCCCTTTGGAAACCACCCAACATATAGTTTGACATAACTAATTATTTGTTTTAATAGACAAGTATGTGACCTACTTCTGGCCAGATCTCTTCAGGCTCCTGATCCCTAGGAAATCCTCTGAGGACCTCTTTGCTTCCTGGTTTAAACCTCTCAGAATAGTTTTGCCCTCTTCACATGTTAGAAAGCCATGAAAACCTGGCTGACTGACGTTGAGGAGAAGCTCAGATTTTTTAAGACAATAAAAATGATTGGATTTTGGGTGGGAAAACTTTGAGCTGAGAAAAGCATAACGCTGGGACTGGCAGGGAGAGGGAGCATAGTCGTGGGTATCTCCTGCCCTTCTTCTGTGACAGAAATTGCTTGTATTGTGGAAAAAGTGGCTGGGAAGGGAGAAGTGGGAGAAGTTAAAAGCAGGCTTTTAACCTGCATCACTGATGATCAGGAGATCTGAATCATGTTTGCCTGGCTTCATCTCATGGTGCGAGTATGGAGAAGTTACCCATCCTTCCCATACTTCAGGGCAATGGACAATACTTCCTTCCCCTGACCTCAGGGTCAGGCTTAAGTCCTTCAGAGCTACAGAATTCCTTAAGAGAGAGACCCAAAGAGCTGTAATCACAGGCATCCTGTAGAAAGGTTTTCCTACTTTCGCTAATGTTTTTTTGACCCTTTCTTAAGTGGTAGCTTGTTCTAGGGAGGAGTGCATTTTTGACCAAGCAGCACACTCTCAATTTACATTTCACTGTAATTAACCTGGCTTCCAAGCCAGTTGGGCAGCCAGGGTGAGCCTAGGACCTTTAATTTATTGAGGAAGAAACATGGTTTCTAATGGGCCACTGGAATTTTTCTTCAAGTGGGACTGAGTCCTGGTTTGTTTAGTTAAACTTCAGATTTGAATGTTGCTGGTGGAGACCACAGTATCAGAAGGAAATGGTTGCCTCTGCTTGTTTCCCATGACCTATTACTTCAGCCTCCAAGGGGATGCATCTGGGGACTGCTCTGTTTATCTAGCTGACTACTGCTTCAGTGGGAATTTTGACACAGGAGGAGAGCCTGGCCAGCGGAGGGGAGGGGGATGGGGAGCGCTCCAGGCTGGCAGCTCCTGTAGGAGAAAGGAAATGTTTTGCCTTATGAAATCCAAAGATTAAAGCCTTTGGTCACTCTCTCCTCAGCAGTCGTCCTTCTCTTGGCTTAAGTGTGTTAGTACAGAGCTCGTTGTCGGCGTGGGGCAGAGGTGGTTTTCTCCAGCCTTGCTTGATCTCCTGCTCCCTTCCCCCACTGTCACTTTTGTCTCAGATTAAATATTTTGAAAGGAAACAGATGGGGATGCTTTGAGCCCCAGCGGGCTAGAGTGCAGGATTCCTGAACCTGTATGGGTATTACTCAGCCTGGTGGTAACGTTTTACTGACCGGTTTATTTTCTTTTTGATTTGAACAAAAGAGGCCTGACTGCTCCTGATTTGTGAGAGGTAAATAAAAAGCGGTTTGTTGTCTGCACTGCCATTTCTCAGCAATCGTCAGGAAGGAAAGAGATGGTCACGCCACTAATGATTTAAAGTGTGTGACTAGCAGCTATACGCTGCCATTAAATAATACAAAAAAAAGTTCTTGGCTTGTAATAAGCACTTGGCTCCTCTTGCTTTTAGAGGAAGTGAGTAATCAAAGGGGAAAAACATGCCTATTAAAGTGACGCCCATTTTAAAGGCTACACTCGTGGACTGAATTGCAGCCTGCACCATCAGGGCTTGCTTCTTTTGGCTGTTGCTGTTGCAACATCTTCCCCCACACACAGTGTCGGGCATTCAGTCTTGTTTCCTTCCATCAGTGATGATGCTTGTGTCAGTCCTGTAAAGGAAGCCTTAAAACCTCTGGTATCCTGCAGGACAGAGAGAAACTTCCCATCACCTCCAACACAGGATTTCCCATGCAGTTCTGCTACCCTTACGCTGATCTGGTTCGCAGCTACGTGGAGTTTTGGCCACGCACATGGCATTTTTGTGGAGAGTGCCGAGTGCTCCACAGAGCTGCTGGGGAAGAGTTGTTACTATTCTAAGCAGTAGCAGCTGATACAAATTTAAAATTGCCTTAATAAAAAAACAGCACAGTTATTTTCCAGGCCTTGTTTCTACTGCATACACTGGCAGCACTTGCAGCAGTGCCGCTCCAAGCACACATGAAACAATAAGGATCTTTCTGATGCCTTCCAGACAAGTCAGAGCTATTTTGGGAGCTCTGGTACATGTTTGTAAACTCTCAGATCATTTTTGCCTCCTTAACACTTAGAAATATCTCCTTCCTGCCCTGCTTAAAAACAAGTGATGCTTCTTATTTTGATTTCCTAGAAATGAGCAGGGATTTTTTTCGCCTTCCAGGCTCTCCCCAGTCCTTTTGTAGAGACTTGGCTCGGAGCTCACCAGCTAATCAGATCTCTCTTGTTCACGACTGACTGTACTGCGGGCTGTAACATCCAGGGCTTTGTTCTTGCTCTTTGCCTGCCGTTCCCCAAGCGAGCTGTGGAGCGGACAGGAGGAAAGACTCTTGCTTTTCAACAGCCAGCCCCCGAGGTCCCGGAAGGGGATCACTCATAATGCTCCTACAGAGATGCCATCTGCTCTCCGAGAAGGAGCATGGCCAGGTCAAGAGGAAGGGTGAGGGGAAGGGGGGGGTGCAGGCAGAGGGTGAGAGGGGTGTTTAGACCTGCAGTTCCGCCCCTTGTCCCCTGCTTCCTGGGGAGGGGTCAGCCTGTGGAGCCTGCTTCTGATCACTGATGTTTTGCCAGGCTTGTAATTTCATGTTCGTTCTCACAGCACAAAAAATGTAATTGCGCAGTCCCTCCCACACGGCACTCATCATCGCCTACCAGGGCTGACTCGTTTCCTGTTACATACTTGCTTCAGCACTTCGTTTTTACCTTTGGTGGCTTTCCCTTTCCAGCCCCAGGAGCAATTTGCTGTTGCACTATGTTCTCTGGTCAGTAACCCAAGAGTTCCCATGGGTTTGGGGTCTTAGAGCTTGGGGTGTTGCGTTCGGTTTGGTTTTAAGGTACGAGAGGTAGCAGCTTTGTAGCATTTCTGGAAACAGGATCATTATTAAGCTGGCAGTGGCTCTGGGGCGTGAATTTCAGAGGTTTCTGCTTTGTCGAGATTTAGGTCGGAAAAAAAACAAAGCTCTGAGGGATTTTCGCTTGCCTCAGAAGAAACCATGCTGAGAGTTGTATGTCAGGGTCATTCAATTACCCCTGCCCCCTCCGCTCCTTCTCATCATGCAACCTGCTTATAGCCGACGAAGAATTAAAGCAGGGCCACGGATTGGTTTTTCCCAAGGAATCCTCTGGGAGATAACCTGTGTGAATGCCTGGGCAGAGATGGGCAGAGATCCCAAGAACAGGGCTGAGCCTCACAAAAATCCTCAGAGGTAGGAGGCAGGGCCAGCTGCCCTAACAGTAAATTGTACGAGCAGCTTTGGCTTGATGTGGTTGCAAGTAGTACAGAAACCCAAAAAGGGCTTTCCCGGGCTGAAATGTTTCAAAAAAAGGACAGAGATAAAAGCTGCAGATTAGTACCTTGCTTTGGGGCCAAGACAGGCAATCGTGACCTAATGACTGCGGTGCGCGGTTGGTTTGCACACGTGGAGTTACTGACCTGCAAGTTTGTATTAAAATGGGTTCCAGGGAAAAAAAAAAGAAATCCCCCCCACTGATGTAAAATCTGCCTTCGAAGTAGGAGATAGGCTGTCTTGTCAGCTGGGGTAATTTGGCTTATCAGATTTATTAACATGGTTGTCAGTAATATGCATTTTATCTGATGATCTGATGCTGTAATTTGTTTGCAGCACAAAGTCAGCTTGTTTAATAAGCTGCTGAGGCCTGGGCAGAGGGAGAGGGGGGGGGGTTTAATCGGCGTGTTGGGCAGAGAGTAAGCGTGGAGACTGTCTGTCGGTCAGGAGCCATGCACAGCTTCCGGCCCGTGCGAACGCTTCGTCTAGCAGTAGCAATTGGGAGGCTTCGGAGCGGTGCTCAACACCTTTGAGGATTTTTGTGTTTTCATAGAAGTGCACTGCCTGTGTCTCCAGTGCCAGACATTAGATGGGAGGCAGCACCCTGAGGGGATCCCTGTTAGACACACACGCACACACACACACACACACACCCACCCCTATTCACACAAGCTGTGTGTGATCTGTTTTTGTTATGGCAGTGCATGCATTGTACCTGCAGCTGTGCAGGTGGCCAGCCTGGTACATCCTCACTGGTCTCTGCTCTCCCCTTACTGATGGCTCTGCCATACTGGGTTGCAGGCTCTCTTGGACCATCTAGCCTCCAGCATGTGTTGCAGGGCCAGAAAACCATGAGGCAGGGCTCTGCTAGCGACCTCTCTGCCAACCTTGCCTTTCCCTCCTCCCCATCTATCACTTCAAACCAAAGTTCAGTGAATACTGCACAAAATGCAGAATGTGTGATTTTTGTATTAGTTGTTTTAGCCAGAGAATCACCCACAGCAGGGGCAACATAGAAACTTAATGAGTAGCTATCCTGTCGTCGGAAAATCCACAGCACAGACTGTTTGTCTTCTCCAGCAGCGCTCATCACAGTCCAATGGGGTTTGTACTGCTCTAGCTCTCAGGAAAAGGGATCTGTTGGAATTGTCCCCCCTTCTCACCTACTTACGTTGCTTCTCATCTTCCCGTGGTCCCTCGACACACCACATACTCAGAACCCAGTGCCACACCAGCAGGAGATGAGGAAGGCAAAAATACCGGGGGAGTTGGCCACAAAGGAGTCTGAAGAGATTTCTTTCCTCCAAGGATGAGTTGTAGGTGGCTGCTACATTTGGATCTGAGTATGAGGCACAAGGGAATTAGACCAGGTTTGGCTCAGCTTCTCAGAAAAACACAGCTGATAAAGAAAAAAAAAAATGCATTGAATAAAATGTGTGCAACACGCGAACAAGCAAACCCTCATGCTTGGCTATCTCACACACCACCGGCCAACATCCAAGCCTTCAGGCTGCTGGCCAGCCTGGAGCTGTTCGTTCAGCTGGCATGGTGTGTGTGTGCTATCTCAGCTGCACGTATGAGAGAACAGGGGGACATCAGCCCTCATATTCACGGCATGCCTGCGTAAGCCCATCTAAAGCCATGCACTGTAGGCCTAGGGAACCCGACCATGAGATATACGCAGCTTGCAGTTTTTCCAGGGATCAACGAGGGGTGTATAGCCCCAGGATCTGCCGGTGCCTGGGGGAGCCGGTCGCCAGCCCCACGTGGCTGCTGGTGCTGCTGAAGCAGGGCCAGCTTCCAGGACAGAGGCTCAAGTGATGGCAGGCTGCTGCTGCAGAGATCTCGGACATCACGGCCAAGGCGGTTTTTAGGAGAAGATGAAGTTCTGTAAATTTGGAGTCTTGTAAACTACGGTTGGCCCCATGAAGAAGTGTAAGTTAGGGAGATTGAGACCAAAGCCGAGCACCCAAATTTTAGCTCCTGCCTGCATATCAACTAATGAAAATACAGAAGAGGCAGACTTTTTTGAAAGTGAATAGACATCCAAAAATCCTCTGGCACCTTTGTAAATCTAACCACTGATGTGTTGATGCTTAACTAGACTTAAGTTCCTGACTTCAGGCATTAGGGATTTGAAACTTTGTCTTGCGTCTTTTAATTTAGCAGGACTTACTTGAGCAACTGCAATTTTCCCTAGAAAAACATATTTATTTCTGAGTAATATTCTCTCTTAGGATCACTCACATGTAAAGCAGGAAAAATTTTAGCACGCCTGATGTTTTACTAAGTAAGGAGATGAGAATTACCATGTTTACTTTGTTCTCTGAGTCAAGTCAGATTGCGGCATATAGCAGAAGATACGGGGCATCGAGCACTGGATGTGACAGCAGAACAGTACCAGCAGGGAACTGTAAACAGGGCCATAACTTCACTCCCTGAGAGTGATTTGTCCACATTGTTACACTTTCCACACTCCTCCTGAAAGCTAAGGGAACTTTTATGAGAGGGTGGTGAGAAGTCAAAGTCAGTCTGTTTCCAAATTCAAGAGTGTTTGTCACTAGGGATCAGCAACAAGCAATGCAACTCTTTTGCCTGTATGTTAATACAAGGCACCAGGGAAATGTCTGCATATTTTTTCATACATACTACAAGTTAATTATTACCACAAGACTTTGCTTTAAAGTCATACTGAAAATATTTTCCCTAAGAAAACAGTAAATGATTGGAAAAGCAAATAAATCAGTGTTTAAAGGCTTGTTATCTTACCATCCTTACCACAACTGGCTCCTGCAAGCTCTGATGATGGATGAGCACATTAGAACTGCACGTATTTAAGGCACTACAGGCTTTTCAGTGCCAGGAGCTTAAAGTATACTGTCAAGTTATAAATCACAGGCCAAAATTGTGCCTTGACATCATTGCAGTCCAAGCAACTCAAATGGCAGTATTAGTTTTAAGTCCTTGCATGTTTCTAATGAAATATTAAGTTTGTTTTTAATTTACGTTTTTACCATGTTTGTTTGTTTTGCATTTTGCTCAGCTTGAGCAGGCAAACTGGGAGGTACATTTCCAATAAATCTCACCTCTATTCATATGTGCTAACTGTGTTTGACTTGCAAATATCACAGGGAAATGTTAATTTAAAACATTTTGGAAGAAAGAATTTCTATTATATTGGGCTTATTGTTTTTTAAAACTTTTCTTCTTTTATAAAACTTCAAACTTCAATTAAAATGTCTTAGCCTTCTCTTGGGATGTGGGACAAACCACCCCTTCCCTGCTAAGTCTTTCCTTCTGCCCTACATGTTCCACCCGCCTGTCCTCTCTGACCGAACTCCATGGAGCTGTTTTTAACGCTTGCCTGCAGCTCTGTCCACCCACACGTGTTGCAGAACACAACAGTCACCTGCAAACTGGCACTTTGATTCTGTCTTTATTCTGATTAAGACTCATTTATTCTTTCATTAGGTGCAAAGTTTCCCATTAAATGGACTGCGCCAGAAGCAGCATTGTATGGAAGGTTCACAATAAAGTCGGATGTGTGGTCTTTTGGGATCCTACTGACAGAGCTGGTAACAAAAGGGAGAGTGCCATACCCAGGTAAGAAAACAGTTTGAGCCCTGCTTCACCTGGGGAAAGGAGTGGGAACGAGCCCATTTAAGCCATATGCTTAAAGTGGAATGTTTGTTTATTTTCACTGGACTCAAAGGAGGATGCTTATCATGCGTAAGTTCTGTGTATGCTTGAAAACGGTCCTGACTCCGAAAGCTGTTATGTGATGGTCATGATAAAAATGACAAGAGGACAGAAAATCCAACATATTCATTTCTAATTTTTTTAATTGTTCTCAATTCAATTAATACACTTTCTAGCCAAATAATGAAAGCAATGTAAAATTACTATACTGTGCAGAAAATAGCTCTCCGTAGTATTGCATTCACTTTAAGATACCAACAGTTAAACTCCCAGAGTGGCATTACTCTGTTCATTCTGTCAGTCTGGTTCTCTGCAAGGTTTGATGACTGTCTGAATGTCTGGTATTACCCAATCTCTTTTTTATAAACTCTTAAATTTCAATCCTTGCTTTCGAGATGGATGGAAAAGAAAGAAAATAATTCTGTAATGTGCAGGCCGGAGCTCATGGCAGGGTCACAGCGGAGCCAGATTCTCTGCATGGGGGAACCGGAGGGCCCATGGCTCTTTGTTGAAACCCTGCCAAGTATCCGATGGATTAAGATTTGTAGGAGGAGTGATTGGATCTGCCTATGCAGAAAGAGCTTTTCATTCCGTTGCCCCCCTGAAGATTGTAGGCATTCAGATGAAGAGGAAAGGGGTGAGGTGAAAGCAGTGCATTACATGGAAAAGAATTTAATCCCTTCATTTTCTTATCAGCACAGATACTAACAACAGGGCATCTAGCTGCAGCTTTATTCTTTTTATTAAAAAAAAAATACTCTAAATACTCACCAGTATGGCTGTGTGCACTGCAGCTGATTTAATGGCAAGTGGCCTAAAGCAGTTTCAATTTTCCTATCATCTGTGCCGTGATCAAGCAGTCAGATCCATACATCAGATTGCGCAGGCGAAGCATCGAGGTGGAGTTCAGTTTATCCTGTGGTATCTCACGCCACTTCAGAAGGCTGAACTCAGCAAAACTAAACTCCCAGAGTTTTACCAGGAATTTCAACTTTGCTAGCAACTAGCAGCCAGTAGCTGATATTTGGGAAGAGAATATGAGGACTGGAAGGCTTCTCGTGATCAGCAGTGAATTTTGGCGTGATTAACAGGGAGCAGCTTAGCAAAGCTGTGACTGTGACAACAGAATGAGGTAGCAGAAACCGAGATGACATGTTTCTGTGGGATGGATGAGTCCCTCTGCCCAGCATTTCCCCATGCTGTTAAAGAAAAGCGGGTGTTGCCACCACACGGAGTGGCAGTAGCTGGCACAAAGGTCTTCTTGCTGTGAGTATTACTGGCAGTGGTGTGAGACAGCCGTGATTTCCACAGGTTTATTGAGGGTTAAATGCAGACATGGCACGGAGTGCAAAGGTCAAAGACAGAAAGAAGATGTGTAAGACTCAGCTGATATGGTGCTGCTCCCAGAGGGTGGGCAACGCCCCTCGCTGGGCTGCAGGAAGAGGAAATTCCTAGTCACTACCAGCAGAGTGGGTGCACAAGGGCTCTCACCAGCCAGGGCAGAGTTAAGGTGAATTTTATACCCTGAGCTCCACAGTGGTGGGGCAGAGATGCTTAGTGACTACGTGTGTGAGCACAGACACGCGCACACACACAGGAAAAATACTATTCCAGGCAAAAGCGAGCGTCTAAGCCCCATGTTAACTCACAAGTTTGTAACTGAACACAGTATTGGCCATGGCAGCAGAGGATGTCTGCACTTCCCAAGTGCTCCTTTCCCTCCCTGAAGGAGAAAGAGGCCACTGGATGTGCGTTTAAGTGCTTGCAATATATAATTTCTTGTAGGACCCATGACAGAAATCTCAGGCATGGTCTGTGTCCTGAAAATGTGGACAGTTTTATTATGTGGCAGTTTGAGCACATCAAAGACAACTAGCAGCGTCTCTCCTCTTTCAGCAGCGTCCTCCCCCTTCATCCCTCACTACATAAAGCCCTCACACACTGAAAGTCCTTCTGGCTCACTCTCCCCCACCCACACTAGGAAGACATCAAGTAGCTGGAAGCAACTTTTTTGTGTGTGTTACATATCACAGAGTCAGCAGCTTTGTGGATGGTCATGTACTGCCTCGGTTACACACTGCCCGAGCTCTACGCCAGGGCCCTTCCTCCCCACCGGGACTCCCACCCTGCTCAGCCAGGAGGTCTTAACCATTCCCATGGTCACCATCACTCCCCTCTCTGTCAGTTTTACCTGAGGGCAGCCTCTATTTTAAATTTGAATTTCCAAAGTCTTTAGCGATTTCAATTCAGTCTCATTCCCCAGACGCTAACTAGGAAAGCTTTTATAGGCTGAGGCAACGGTGGAGGGGAACTGGGGCCTTCTCAGAAGGGTCTGTCTTTGCATGTGGGTTGAAAAGAGGACTCAGACTTCCCAGGGTGACAAAGGCCTCCTGAGCTCCTCAGAAAAGACTCTATTTTCTCCTGACATAGAAAGGATCATCCATCTCCTGCTTCATGCTGGGGAGAGGAAGGACCTCCTGGAAGGATAAAGCTTCATGAATTCATGTCCCTGTCTGGGGCAGGGAGTAGGGTTCAGATGCACCCACAGGGCTTTTTCTGCCATTGCAGCATGGCTTGCGTGAGGAGGAAAAGATGGGAGTTCAACCACCCTGAGAGGCAAGACTCAGCCCTCCTCACTCAAGTAGACAACTTATAGGTGAGAGAATGCAGTTTGTAGGCACTGCCAACCACTTTGGCACCCAAGGCATGTGGATTTGGAAGCTCTGGAAAGGGTCAGCCTTGAAACAAAGAGGGTCATGGAGCTGTCACTCTGCTGTAATACCCAGTTTCTGAAATAGTTGTGGGCATGGTGTCCTGATGTTCCTGCTTACAGCTTGTAGCAGGCTGGGGGGAGGCCCTCAGACAAAGCAATTGCTCTCTTGCTTGACAAGATCTTAGTGCCTGGAGAGATTATTTATAGCACACACCCCAGTCCTGTGGTGGAAGCCATGCCCACAGGGCACTGTACCTCATGCCTTGGAGAACCAGGCATTGTTTTAAGCTTGTGTGGGAGGGAGAAGCATAACGAGGAGGACAGAAGGAGAAGGCAGGCAGTATATAGGAGAGGAACAGACTGTGGAACAGGACTTGGCATTCATTGTCCCCCAGATTTCAACCACCTCCTGTCCTGATGCCCCATTTTGGAAGAAAGGTTGCAGCAGTGATGGGATGTGTGAGCAGTAAAGATTTTGCTGGCAGAGATGAAGATCGGACTAGAGTTCATAATCAAGCCTTGCCCCAGACCTTGTAGCTCCCACAAGCAAGACTGACTTTTTGACAGGTGTCCTCATCTTCATCCTTCAACCAAGCCTGTTTCTCTGTCAATGGGCATAATGGACTGTTCTGATAACTAATTTATTAGTGCTTTTCCTAGCCTTCCCTAATGCTTTCCCATTCTTTTCACAAGGCAGCAGATTGAAATAAGCGACTTTCACAGTCTTTCTGGGCATTGAGGTTCTATTTCTATTACTTCCCCACTATTAGAGTGGGGAAGTAAAAACTAGATATGGGCAGAAGAGGAGCCAAGTTTAGAAAACAGTCTGCTTAGTCAACCTTTTTCAGTGTCTGTTTCTTTCCCCTTTCACAAATTTCCCTTGGATCTTAGTTTTGGGGTTTTTAATGGAGTTTAAGAGTAGGAGGCTGCATTTCTCTAGCAGTAGTCAGAGAATTTGAGGGTTTTTAACATGTTGCCTTTCGGATAGGCAAAAATCTCAGCTGTACTAAACAAGCACCTCTGAACTTGCCTCTTCTGCTTTCTGCTGCACGGGTCATATCAAGAGCATTTACATTTTATGTCTAGTGTGACAGTCACCACGATGCTATCCACATTGCTGCCTCCGGCCAGGCAGGCCTTTGAGCTTGGGCTCCAAGCAGCTCTGCAGTCCCTGGGGAGCTGTGTTCAGCCTCCTCATCCCTGGGGGAAGCTGGGCCACAAGTGCCAGGGAGCGCACGGTACGCTGCCCAAGGCTGGGGCCGAGTACACGTCAGTGAGCCCGCATATGTGTGTGTACTGTCATCATGGATGGTAGATAAGGAGTTGAGAGAGATGCGTACTCAGCACATAGCACAGATGAGCTCAGGTGGGTTTCTTTGTAAGCAGGAAAGCTCCACTCGCAAATGCTATAGCTCAAAGTTGCATCTCTTATACCAAGCAAATAATAACTTATTAAAAAAAAAAAAAAAAACCACACAACCCAACAGATATCGATAGCCTAGCTTTGTGCGCGTTTTGAGGATGAGGAGTTGCTGGGGGTTTTCAGGCCTTAATTTCTAAACGAAGTGGCATGACTTCCAGATTTTTAAAACTTGTTACTATTTTTGCACAGAAATAACTAGGTTCATATTGTACACAGTAAGAACAGCATTATGCTTCAAAGGTTGTCTTCCTTTAGGAGCAGCTTTCCTGTTCCCCTCAGTGCACTATCGTGCCTGCGTATGGAATAATCTTCCTGCCTAAGTCCCATATCCCATCCCTGTGCCCTCACCTCTGGCTTTTCTTTGGGGCTGTCCACAGAAGTTAGAAATTCTGCTTCTAGATCAAACTGAACAAAACCCAAAAATCAACCTGTCTCCATTGTACCTCTCTCTTTTGAGAGCATGCTCTGAGTGCCAACGTGATCCAGCCCCTCTGGAGGACTACACAGTTTTACCTTCTCAACTAAGGATAACAAGAGGAGAGCCAACATATCCACATCTGAGGAACCTTTGAACGCGAGCAGAGGCACAGCTCTGGCTTCTTGGAGAATCTGAAATACAGCATTTCTGGGGATGGACAGCAGCTGAGCTGTTCTTTTAGGACTCCTACTTTAAGCATTTGTGTCTGTATTAGTTCAATCATTGCTCTGAAAGCATGCAGTGGGTCTTGAAGGAGCATAATTCTCAGTCCAACAGAAGAAAGCAAGAATAAAGTGGCTTAAAACCATCACTGTTCTCACTGGACTTCACGTTGCCCAAAGTCATCTGTATAGCTTATTAGCTTTGGATGTGGGGATGCTGCCTAGTTACAGTAATGTCTCCTGTCTTCTGGAAGAGCAGCATTGCCCAGATCTGTGCTGTTTGCACATCTGCTGTGCTCCATCTAATCAAGCTCCTCAGAGCACTCCAAAGCACTTTCCAGTGTTTTCTTTAGCCACAACTGGAAACTTTACCATCCCCCTTTATGTCACAGTAACTCTTACTACTGTGGTTTCTCTAGGAAAAGTCAAGCAGCACTGCGTTTCTGTCCCCAGTCCATATGGGCAGTAGATTTTTATTGTATTGAGCATTAAAGTAGCCATATCCTGTGGCATCCTAAGATTATTGGAGGTTTCACTAATAAAGCTGGATGGTGGGAGGTTATTTCAGTTTTGGTCTTCTCAGGGTATAAAAAGCTAATGGAAAAGCCATCTTTTGGAAATTGGATGTTTCCTTCTTGGTCCAAATGGTAATTCTAGAAACATCATGAGCACAAACTGATTTTTCGAGCAGGCGAAATAGCTGTAGTCTACAGAAGAATATTGCTGAGTATTTTATTCCACAGATTTAAGGATTTTAGGATAGACTTTTAAGGGGTCTAGAAGCGTACTGCAAGCAGAATTTCATTTATTATTTACTAAAAGAGTTGAAACTCTCGGGTATTCATTAGGAGAGAGAAGTTGTACAGACTGCTCAAATATTCTCTCTGTGGTGTTGCAAGTGCAGATGGAACAGGCTCCTGCTATCAAAAGAGAAACACTAAAATTTGTAGGATAAGATAAGCGAATCTAGATAATAGGTTTGTAAACATAAATAGGCCGTTTAAGAGGTAGAAAGTATACCTGAAACACTGCTATTTTTATAAGCCTGACTAATAGTCCAATCGATTTTGAAAAAAATGTATTTGAAACTCCTTTTTTAAATTAGCAGCACACATCAAAACCGATAGAATTTCTTTGGCAAATCCTAGGTGCTGCAGCCCTTGCTGGTTGTATGCATTCCAGTAAGGAACATGAGGATTACTTGGTTTAGTTTCATATCTGGGTTTTACTGGGAGGGAGGGGAAAGTAGAAAGGAAAAGGAGGGCATTTTCCTGGATTATACTGTGATGACAAAACCTGGCTTGACTGATTTTCCAGAGACAAAAAATGACTGATTTCAGACAGCAATGTCTCTTTTATGTTCTTTTTTCTATCTTTTTTTTTAAAAAAAGGGGCGTGAAGAGCTGTTTATGTTTTTCCACCCCCCTCTCTCTCCTCAGGGTTTTTCTTCCAGCATACAGTTCGTTATCAAGTTTCAGAGTGTGCTTTGCAGCATTGAGTAATGCACTGGAAAAAAATACCAAACATGTATTTGATATCTTAGAATAACAAATCAGTTGGGAAGGAGCTTTTCTGCTGCTGTTGCTTCCACCCATGTTGTACTTAAAGGGGTACTGCCAAAATAAAAACAAAGAATGCAGTTTGTTTGTGGTTTAGGTATATACAATAGATGAGTTACTGGTAACACTTATTTTCATGGCCTTTAACATGTAAGGGAAGCAAAGCACAGCAGAAGTTCCTACTCCAAAACATGAGGTAATTCAGCTGATTCAAAGGCAAGGATATGAAAAAACGGTGCAGATCTTTGTTCAAAGCACAAATTAAAAAAAATAATATTGAGAACACAACACAAGCAAAACGCCCATTTTCTTCTTGTAGCATCTTGAAGGCCAGAAGGTTTGGGTTGATGCTGCCTTTGGGTTGGTGATGACTAACAGACCACTAGCGCTGTTTTGTAATTTAATATAAAAGTAAAATATGTTTGAAAATGTTCTTGTTGGATAATGAGGAACACCCAAACGTTTGTTCAGTGTGTGGCAAGCTTTTCTGGTTTGTGTGAGCCTGTGTGACCTAACAACATCAGTTTGGAGTCAATAATACAGGAGAACCTTAACCCTGTGCAGAATCTGATGTCTGCAGAGGACCGTTACTACTCTGTTTTCATCATTCTGTGGAGTTCGTAACCAGGGACCACTTTAGGTGCCGTACAAAGTCCTACTCATAAGCATCTAACACCAAAAATACAGTGGGTGGATGCAGGCGATAAACACAAGAAACCAGTGCTAAAGTCTTGGTCTGCAGGTTAGGAAATACTGTAAATCTAACCTTTCTTTTTGCAACTATCACTGCTGAAGGGAATGGCAAGGAGAGGTTTGTAGGAGGATGAGGCGGTTTTCTAGGGGGGTTCCTCCATGCACAACAGGCAGCACAAGAAACAGCACATCAGCGCTTGTTTGAAAATTGAAGGTGCTGCATTAAGCTAGCCAGAACTGTGAATTGACCAGGACATGGCCAAATGAGACGCTAAATGCTAGTGGGGCGGCCTGTGAGAGGCTTTGAAAGTGAAGACAGGCAGCTGGTATTTTACCTAGTAAGCAACAAGGAGCAAGTGGCAAGACCATGCAAGGGGTCATTACAGTAACAGGCTAGGAAAATGATCCTTGCATAGACACTGCAAATGGATATCAGCGGGAGAAAATTACCCCGTCAAGATAAGAGGAGAAGGTGTTTTGTAATCCTAACATGAGTTGAGAATCTAGATGTGGATGGTCAGGAAAGGACGTATTTTGCAGATGCTTCTTTCAAAACATCTTTAAGAATTAAACAGAGCCAGGACGTAAGGACACAGAGTAAAGACCAAATCCAAGGATACAGCTAAGTTACCAGCCTAAATGCTATGCAGTGTAAGGATATTATTCCCACTAGTCAAGGTGTAGAGTAGACAAATGAGTCTGTATTGAAGAAGGTGGTTGAATTATTTCTCACAAATAAGTTTACCAAAAATACGAGGTAGAGGCGATCCCCTGGGTCCTGAAGGTGGGACAAGAAAATTCTTCAAGAGGACACCCTGCAAGAACAGAGTCAGGAGACCCAGGGAAGGATGGTGTCATGGAAGCCAGGCGGAGGATAAGCTAACAGAAAGAGCAACATCAAGGTGCCGGTTTCTAGATTTGGTCATGGAAGAACATAAGCGTCCCTACTGGTTCTCCTGCAGAGCTGCTTGGCAGGACACGCTAAGTCAGGGGAGTGAAGCCTGCAGCTATTTCTCAGCAGAGGACTGGGGCAGGGCTTGCCAAATGGCAAGCCACAAAGCTTGCAGTCAGTGTGCATGCTTTCTCTGAAACACTTCTGCATGCCTGCGGTGCCAGTCTTACCTTTGGTACTGTTAAAAAGCCAAAGGAATTACTGGAAGAGATATTTAAACTAAAGTTGAGGTTGACTGCAATTAATGTATGGTGAAAAGCACTTCAGCAGAGGAATCAAGGGTTGAAGGGCTTGCATAGAAAAGACAAGGCAGCAAAGGGCCTGGCTTGCCTCTTAGGGACAAGCATGATGGTAATATAACTTTATACCTTTATTGAGAGCGCGCTATGGTTCTGCAGTGGAGCTGTTTTGCTTGGCATTTGACTTGTCTTCTGAGCAACATTGTTCTCTTCTGGGTTGGGATGGAACAGTGGAAGCCTCTGAACTGGCGTTGAAGGTAACGCTGCTGGACACCCCTGGTAGCCCAAAGTAGCAGAGTTTGTCCTGAAGTCTCTGCAGCGTGACCTCACAGAGCACTTCAAGAAAGGCCCACGCTCAGTGTGAGGGTTTCAAAAATTCATCTTAATTTCTAGAATTTTGAATAGTATTTGTTGTAATGCGTTTCTTTTCTTTAACCACTTCACATAATATATTTCAAGGCTACTGTTGTTGGAGAGGGAAAGCACCAAATCCTGCTCATTGTGAGTAAGCCAAGAGGGAGCTCATCACTGGATCCTAAAACCCTCTACTGAGAAAGAAAGTAACCCAGGGTGCCTTGCAGCAGATGAAGAGCTGAAACAGGACATCGGGGTGGTTTTGTTTCGCTTGTCTGAACCAAAAGAAATTAGTATGATCGAGAAAACCATATGTATTGTAGATATAGTTAGACTCGGGTTAATTTTCCTGTAATTTAACAGTGTGGATTTGTCTGCCCTTTACAGGCATGAATAACCGTGAAGTCTTGGAGCAAGTAGAACGTGGTTATCGGATGCCATGTCCTCAGGACTGTCCCATCTCCTTGCACGAGCTTATGATCCACTGCTGGAAAAAAGACCCAGAGGAGCGTCCAACTTTCGAATATTTGCAGGGTTTCCTTGAAGACTACTTCACTGCAACAGAACCCCAGTACCAGCCTGGCGACAACCTGTAAATCCCTCGTCTCCAGACACTGTCATGAATTACCAGGTGTTTCTCAGCCCTGCCCCACCTGTCCTTCAGCTTCCAACTCCGTGATCGGCTTCTCCAGAGTGCAGCATCTTCCAGCACCGCCGTGCACAGGAGGGGCTGAAGCTGGGAACTTCCGCAGCCCTTGCCTACGACCACTTGTCCTAATAATCTGAATGTCCTGGATGAAAAGGAGAAAAACACTTGTTCTTTCTTAATCAAAGACTCCAAAACTGCATTGTATTGATGTTCTGTAAACTTCGAAACCTCTGTTCATTGTAAATAGTAACTCGGTGCCAATAACTGATCCTAGTGCTTTCCTTTTTTTAAAACGCAAAACCTATGTGATTTTAACTAGTCTTCTCCTGATTCAACTAAAAGTATTATTTTCCAGAAGTGGCCTCTTTGTCTAAAACATTTTTTTTCATGTTTTAACAAATAAAAGAAAAATCGGGACAGGTGTTTGGTTTTTTGCTTTTTTATATATAAAATATATATAATATATATACATACCTGTACATACAGTATATGGGTGCTATTGCAGAGGAAACTCATTTGGAATTGAATGAATCCTGCTGCAGCAGTACCCAGAAAGTGATAATTTTACTGCAGACATGAAAACACTGGTGGGATTCTGAAAGCCAGTGGTCTAATTTTTGGCTTTTGCCAAGCATGATTTTTTTAAATTGGATTGCACTTTTTGTTTATGATTATGTACCTGTAGATGGTTGTAACTTTGCTCTTTCAGGAATCATGTGCTGTATTTACAGTAATGTTTCCAATGTTTGACAAGTGTGTGATGATTTGTTCTTGAAATTAAAACGGAACATATTTAAAGCAAGAAAACTACACCATCACCGTTTGAACTGGAAAATTGAAACTGCAAGGACTTCTTGTATCAAAACATGTATACCGAAATGTTTCGAAAAGATTTATTAAACAGTGTAACCACATTCGGATGGTCTTAAAATCATAGCATTTTAGCCATGTCCACCTGCTAAACTGTTGGTCATGCAACTAGGATTTTTCTGTTTTATGTGTAACATTTTTCCATTGTAAAATAAGTGTGTTAAATGTCCTGTACTGCTAATGAAATTACTTTCTCTATGTCTGCAAGTTCTCCAGTGGAATTACTATGCACTTCTTTACATTTCATGGGGGATGCACAGAACAAAGTATTACCTTTTCAGTTGTCTGTACCAGCCTTGAATTACTTACGTTTAACCAAAAAAAAATTCCTTTCTATTTCTATTGAGTTTTTAATACTGAGTTGCAAATTTTAAAGTCTTAATTACATTTTGTTATGGTTTATTTGCAAGTTTACATTTTAAAACTGTTTAACTTTCTTAATTTAGTAATTAAAAAAAGAGCATTTTACATTTGGATAGTTGTTCTTTTGTTTAAACTGTGGAGATAATGGTGGAGATGAGATAAAAACTTTTCAAGAAGGGGTGTCATGCCATTTGGGGCATCATATTTCATAGGAGTATGCAGACCAGTTACCTATGGGACATCATTTTCCAAATTATGAAGTCAATATGTTTTTAAACAGCTGGAGTTCAACTGTAAGGAAGATGACTGAATGCATAGCTAGTCCCTCATTTCTCTGCTCTACAAGCAGTTTATTCTTTGATAGTTCTGTTGCATTTAACGTGAATACTTTTACATTTGCAAGTGTTGCAGGAAAAAAATTTCTATGCCTTGTATTACTGTTATTGCTTTAAAATATTGCAGCCAAGTAAGACTTCCTGACAGTTGAAACTTTTTCTTAATTATTTAATATTTAGATTGTGAATTCATATTCTGAGTATTCACACATTTTCTAAAGGGAACCTTTTTCCATTCCTGAAAACTAACCCAATAATGAATTGAGATTCAGAGAACAAATTATCATTGTTGTTTTAATATTTTCTATACAAAACATTGATTGAAAATCCTCCCGCAAAGGAAGGTTCCACACTTAGCCTTTCTTGAAGTGTGAATTTATATGGCAATGATGTTGCTTGTTACCAGATTTCCATGATAAATTGGTTCACGTTTTACATGTAGAGTCTATAAGTAATGTTATGTACCTGATATATTCAATGTTGCTGTACCCGTAGCTGTGGAGTACTGAAGAGGCCATAATTCTTGTTGGACTTTTAGCTTCCTCTTAGTACTGACAAAGCAAGTCGTGGTCCTCTTTTTCCCACAGCTACCCCCCCTGCCTTAAAACGTCATCCACTGAACTGAGGACTCCGTAGTAACTCAGCAGGCTGGCGAAGCCAAAATGTCACGTACTCAGCCCAGTGCTCGGTGGCAAAGCATGGCCATTCTGCCAAGTTCCTTAGCAGCCTTTGCTATGCCACAAACTTAAGTGCAGTGTCCATCTGTAATACGGGAGGAACCTAAAACATTAGTTTTGCCTATGTTTCTCGATGGAAGTAAGACTCAGATGGGGCGTTGTCGGGGTTTTATGGCCTTTACTTCTGATTCTTGGGTTTGTTGTTTCTTGTATCGCATTCGGTCTATGAGTACCACGTTGGTCTCTGCCGCATCTCTGCCTGCAGCTGGCTTGTGTGCAGACTGGTGCCGCTGTTGAGTGGCAAATCCAGACCATTTCTCATCGGTAGCTCTTCTGCTTCTTTTTCTTAATGTTGGGAGTTTTGTTGTTTGGGTTTTTTAATCTCTCAAATAAAAACATTAGCAAAAATTTAAACAAGGTTGTTAGCATTTTTGCTATAAATTAATAAAAACCTTTTCTTAAGCACGGTGTATACACCACAAATAGCTGTGTGGTGACTGTAAAAGTTGAATTATCAGATTAGAAATCTCCTGTTCCCTCCAATAGTTTTTTTTAACGTAAGGCTAAATAAATCCTATCCAGGTAAAAACAATAGGCCAAATGCTCCCCCCCACGAGCACACCTGGCTCCCAACCGATCCTTGGTGTGGTGGCGAAGTTCCGGAGAAGGTGACCTACCAGCAGCTGAAAGGACTCTGTGGGGTGACCCAGGCATCTCTAGGCCAAGCTTAATCCAATACCAGTCCCAGGAAAAATGACAGGCAGAAATGCAACACTGCCGCGAAAGGGACGGTTAGTACGATTAATGCCTGTTAACATATTTCTATGAGAAGGAAATGGCGTGAGACTTGGTGGGTCTTCAGAAACATCCAAAGTTTGTCAAAGGCACTAACGTGATATTCCTTGGCTTCTGCAAACAGCGTTCAACTTAGTTCTATCTGATGTTCCGGATTTGATTTAATTACCACTGTAGAAAAGCAAAGTAAATACAAAGCAGAAAAGTGATTAACTGCTAAAATTACAATAATCATAAATGGAAAAATCTGTCTCCAGTGCGAGCGTTTCTCCTGAAGCCTCTAGACTGGAAAGGACTACCTGCAGACCGAGAAGACAGATTGCTAAATGTAGTTGACCTTGCCACACAACTTCAAGGTGAGTGGGAAGTTGCTCAAATTTATTTTAATACGCACCGTCCTTTTCTCAAATGCTGCAATAAAAATGCAGTACACTAATGAATGCTACCACATTCTACCCGAGGGGTTTAAGGGCCTCACATGAGGCTGAGCCGAAGCATGCAAGAGCTATTAGGAGATATACAGTAGCTCCTCTTCTAATGTGTAGACAATATTCATTCATCAAAGAAGGCTTTTCCTGTCTAATGGGAAATTACCACCAGTAGTGCAGACAAAAGGATATTTATTTTCTCCAGTCGTGTCAGTTTGGGGGTCTGTCTGTCTTTCAAGAATAATTGAAGTCTGTTTGTAGCTCAGAAATCTCATTGTGTTCTGCAATCTCAGTAAGCAGTGATTATAATTTCCTGTGACTCACACACAGGGAAATGTTATCACTGAAGGGGCTCCTGTCAATTGGGCCAGCATTCCCTGCCATCTTAACTGAAGAAGGGGGCACTTCAATTTTGGATTTGCCTGTGCAGACCAAACCAGAACCCGTGTCCTTTCAGCAGAAAAGGGAAGAAAAGTGAAAGAGGTCCCTTGCCAAGATGCCACTGGTGTAGGGTGTCCGCCTCTCCTTCCCAGCGCTTTTGAATTTGTCAGGAGAACTTCTGACAGCTAAAACCAGGTTACTGAGCTTCATTTTGAATGTTAGAGGGGAAATGCTAGCTTCACCTAAGTCTGTGAGATATTTTCTGTTGCCTTTTAATACAGCCAGTGTTCTTATGTGTGTGTGTGTCTATATATCTCAAAATGCAATTTGCACACAAAAACATCTATAGCTACACAAACATCAATCCATCTCCTTGTATTCCTCCCTTGCAGCTGAATGCTTAACAAAAATGTAAGACCGGGATGTGAGTAGATTAGAGGACAGAATGGTGCTGGCAACAAAAGAGCTTCTCTTTTTTTTTTTTTCCTTTTTTTATTTTTTCCTGGCTCCCACTACTTGATCAGTTATAATCCCTATTCCCAGGCCAGGAGAGGGGTGGTAGCAGCACGCGTTGCTGCCGCAGCCCGGTGATGCTGTGGGTCTCTAGCTACTGCAAAGAGCAACCTGCAGCTGATTTCAAAGTCGGGGAGGGAAGACATTTCTCCCGAGGGCTTGGATGCAGTTTGGGGCCTGCGGTGTGATCATGCAAGAGGGCCGAAAGGGGAGAAGAGTGCCCTCCCAGGAAAAACAGGTCATTAGCTGCTAGGCTGTGCATCACGCGTAGAGGGAGATCCAAAGGTTGCAGCACCAGCTGTGCTCGCAGCACCTGTGTTTCGCTGTGGCCAGGGATTTAGGTGATCAGATTAGAGCAGGCCGGTGAGCCTCAACTGCAGTTTCTGTTACCAAGGGTAAATATCTTCCCTGTTATGGGTGGGGATAAATAGCGTATATTCAAGATGGGCAAAAAAATCCCAGGACTGGTGTGCCTGTGACTGAAAGGCAAGTGTTGCATCCGCCCGACCAGGCCAGATGGGAGTTTGATTGTTCAGCTCATTGTTGGGAATAACTCAGCATTAGGCTCTGTGAATAGCTAAAAGGGCAAAGAGCAAAGCAATGAGATTATCTCCTTCTTCTACAGCCGGGCTAGAGCTTGCCGAGGGCTCTGGTTTGCTTTTTTGTGCATCAGCATTTTTTGCCGAGCCCCCGCACCCAGAGTCTTGTGCAGTTTGCTCCGCTACTTATTGTCACAGCTTCACAAAAAAGCCCTGAGCCCTGTAATGGATGATTTTCATCTGGAAAAAGAAAAAAGAAAAAAGGATGCAGGGAAGCTTTCTGACCGTGTTGTAGCTTTACTCGCTGACCCTGGGGCTCACCCTCATGCCGGAGGCCCGCCCAAAAGCCTTGCCATCCCCTACGCTTTATTCACCGCCGCAGTTCAGGCTCTGGGCTGCCTTCCAGCCCCGCTACGCTGCTGGGTTTCCCCAGCTAGCAGTTGCTACTTGTACAGGAAAGGTCCCTGGTTGTTGGGAAAAGGGTGCGGTGGTGCCGGCTCACCCCTCCCGGCACTGTGCGGGGCCGGGGCCGTCCCTGCCGCTGGGCCGGGCTCCCGGAGGGGAGCGGCGAGGCAGAAGGGGCCTGC